AAAAGCTAACAGATGCCATCAGAATTTAAAGGCGACGATGTCTTTTAAGACAGAGGGATGTGATCAAGGACAACTTCATAGAAGAGGTGACCTTGAACCTTGAATGAAGGGTAGACTTTAGAAAAATGAAGACTTGGGTTGGGGCCAGAATAAGGCAAAGACATAGAATGGCGTGAGTTAACATACAGAAATGGTGACATATAAATTCCTATCTCAGTAGGATAAATAATCCTGTTTTGACCAGTTCGCTTAAACAAAGGAATCCTAGAGTATATGAATGGAAGAAGGCGGAACAGGTATAGCTGTCAGGAAATGACAGCTATTGGGGAGGGCACTGGAAGCTAAGCTGAATCTACCTTGGAATTTCTAAAATTTCTACCAACAATCATAATTCATTGTGATATATTAATGCAGTGAAAACAAAATTTGTGCTTAAAGCTATTGTACACTTGCAACTCATCATCCAGTTCCTTAAACCAACCTGCCATGTTTCTCCGCATAACATACCTATTTATACTATAATTTTCTAGAATCTAGGAAAGTAGATATTCAGAGCTGAAGTCTTAGCTTTAACTCTGGCACCTTCTTTCCCATGTTTCTGACATCTAGTAGACATTGTTGGAAAACATTCATAAATGTCACGTACAGATGAGTACTGCTATCTAGAAGGCAATATTTCAAACTGTAATTTGAATATTTCTTGTCTCATCTCGTAAGGGTTATTGTTACAACAGTCATTAGTTGGCCTGCAGGAACAGGGGATCAGGAACCCTTAATTCCAATGTAAAAAGTAGAATACGTGATCACACCTCTCTTCCTTTAAATCTTTGGTGGTTTTAATCAGACACTGAGCTGGTTTTAGAGCTATGGGATATTAGAACTGGAATTTAGTCTAGCCCTCCTTATTTTAGTGGAACAAAAAGAGGTCCACAAAGGTAAAGTGACTTGCCTTAGGAGCCACTGCTAACTCTTTCTGCAGCCAGGACTAGAACCCACATCTCTTAGATTCTAGTGTGTTCTTCACATCAAAATTTACACTTACTGAATCTCATTAGCTTTAAATTAACTTAAAAATAGAATGTCAGTAACTTCTCAAGGTGTCACTATGTACCACCATTTCTCACTCACCCCTAATGACATTTGGACTAGATAATTCTTTTTTTTTTTTAAGATTTTATTTTTTTATTTGAGAGGGAGTGCGAGAGAGGGAGAGGGAAAGGGAGAAGCAGACTCCCCATGAGTGGGGAGCCTAATGTGGGGCTTGAGCCCAGGACCCTGAGACCATGACCTGAGCCGAAGGCAGACGCTTAATGGACTGAGCCACCCAGGTGCCGCTGGACCAGGTAATTCTTGGTTGTGGGAGGCTTCCTGTGCCTTGCAGTACGATCATCAGCATCCTTGATCTCTACCCTCTAGATGCCAGTGTCACCACTTCCATCGTCCCGGTTGTGACAACCAAAAATGTCTCCAGACGTTGCCCAATGTCCCTGGGTGGGGTGGGGGTGGGGCAAAATCACCCCAGGTTGAGACACCTTGCATATACTTCTAGAATAATTCTTTCAGAGCCAGTCTGACTTAACCTAAGGTCATCCTTTCACGAATCACACCTCTAACCTGACAGCATAGGGCTTTGCCCAGGTGTTCTAATTTCCCCTGCAGGTGTTACTCTCATTGGAATCTTGTTATTCCAGGCTGTCCATGGTCACAAGTCCCTTGCCGATTTATTGCATTCATTATTTCAGTATGCATTTGAGGATCTATTCTATGCTAGATACAGGGTATTGGGAATGCAGAGATAAGTCTCTGATCTCCAGTAGTTCAGGCTCCTGGAGGAGACAAAAAGGAAAATGAACACCTGTCAGCCCTATGATGAGTATCAAGAAAGAGGTGTATGCGGGGAGCTACAGAATTAGAGAATGCACCTAATTCACACTGAGGGTGCTCACAGGGTGATGGGTCACAGAAGGCTGCCAAAAGGAAATGACAGCTAAGCTAGCTCTTAAAGCACAAATCAGAACGAGCTTGGCCAAGAATGGAAAAGGCTTGCCAGGTAGAGGGATCAGCATACCTAAGGAAAGAAGAGGGAACCCTGGCTTCTGGTTATAGCATCAACACAGGGTGAGAAATGAAGCTGGAGGGTCAGCAGGGGACAGGTCTCAAGAAGCCAATTACGCCATGCCAAGGAGTTTGCCATTGTCTTGATGTTCACTATAAGCTGGGTTTGGGTGGTGGTGGTGGGGGGAATACATCACATTTGCATTTTAGAAAGATCTAAAGCATAGAACATTTTCAAGATGGGGGATTTTTTTTTTTTTTTTAAGATTTATTTATTTATTCGTGAGAGACAGAGAGAGAGAGAGAGGCAGAGGGAGAAGCAGGCTTCCCGTGGAGCAGGGAGCCCGATGCGGGACTCGATCCCAGGACCCTGGGATCATGACCTGAGCCGAAGGCAGATGCTTAACCATCTGAGCCACCCAGGCGCCCCAAGATGGGGGATTTGAAGCAAGAACCCAGGCCACCTCAAGATAAACCCCTGATGTACTGTCTAATAAAGGAACAACATGCCAGATTTTGCTTCCAGTTCCTTACACCACCATGGGAGGGATTCCTATCCTGGCAAGAAGAGGCAAGGCCCACGACAGTACAGAGGTATAGCTTCTCCTGCCACCCAAGACCATGGGAGGAGGAAATTGTTGGCCACCAAGGCAAGAACTTTTTCTTCTGGAACCTAAGACTTCCAAGGGAGGTTGCGTTCCCCGTGGAAATTCAAAACACATTTTTCCCATTAACGAAAAAATGATAAATTTTGCTATTTTTATTTATCTTTTTAAGTGAGCGCCACGCCCAACCTTGGGCTTGAACTCACGACCCCAAGATCGAGAGCCGCATGCTCTGCCAACGGAGCCAGCCAGCCGCCCCAGTTTTGGTATTTTTAAACGTGCGGCTCAGCCAATGTGTGGGTCAAAGGTGTTTTGGGTACGGGTATGTGAGTGAATGTGGGCACTGGCGGTGGAACATATCGTTTCTATGGGAATATGCATTACAGATGGATTTTTGGGACACGATCCGTTTGCCAGCGATGAACTCCGCATGCCACGAAGAGAAAGCACCAGCACAAATGACAGCAGCAACATGCACCAGTGGCCACCCCAGAGCCTGGCACTTAGCAGGTGCTCTGTGAATATTTGCAGAGGTGAACGGGATGCACGGACAGGGATCTCTGCCCTCACGTGCCTCTTGGTTAAATGAGACTTCGAAAACAAAAATGCCAGTTCCAAGATGTGCCGAGGCTGTGTGTGCCAGGACAGGAAGGGACAGCAAGGATTTGTCTAGAAGGACAGTGAAAGAAAGTGAGCTAGTACATCCCCGATTCTGTGGTTCCTGGGACAGAGACCCTTTGGTCTTACGGACAGAAGCTAATATGAGCCCGGGGTGACCTTATGATTAATTTTCAATAATGCCAGGACAGGAGATCAACTTAGGTAAATTAATGTTCGTTCCATCCCTTACTGCGTATTTGTTTTAAGAGCTGATTTGGTGACTTCTAGCTTAAACATGGTGGTCTTCCTCCCTCCAATGCATCCATTAGTCAGAAGGCCCTGGTTTCCTAGAATTCCAAACAAAACGGCCATAGTTTTCATTAGCAGTCATCAAATCTGGCTGAATCCTCTTTCAAAGTGCCTCTTTTTATTTTCCACTACTGACCCGACCTATCTCTAGACTCTCCCAGTTTCGACTCAACCACAATTGTGGAGGCAAATTTACCTTCTTAAAACAATGCCTTGATTCACTTACGCCCCTCAAAAGCCTTTCACCACCTCCCAAGTACCTGCGGAATAAAGTCCAAACCTCTAGTCGGCCTTTACCACCCAGTACAGTCCTCACCTGGGGTTCTGTCCACCCCCGCTTTTGTATACAAGGCAACATAGTATCCTTACTGTCTCCTGAAGAGGCTTGTCCTCATTTCTTTACTGTGCTTGGTTCACACCTCGGCAGCCTGAAACCCTCCATTTCTCCCACTCTCCCTTGAAAGCACATTTCTGAGCCTGGTCTACTCAGTGAGGTAGAAGTCTGAGCTCATTTCAGCCCACGCCCCCTCACTCAGCTTCTTTGCTTGCATGGAATCGTTCTGTGCATCTCTGGCTTCCTTGTGAAGGGGGTGGCTCTGTCTACCATGTTGCTGCCCATCCCCTAGCCATGGGCAATACACGACAAATGGATGACCCAACACCCCAGAAAGGTGCCTGGCCCATCCCAGGAGTTCAACAAATACTGTTAATTTAGCTGAATAAATTCAAGATCTCTGGTTCGTGTAATTTAAGATTACCACCTACTTTCTCCCTTAGACCGGGGGCTTTCCTCCCCCAGCAGGTGAGAAAAAGCATCTACACATTGTAACTTTGATAAAGTTAGCTTTGACACATAAAAAGCGAACTTCCTCTTGAACCCTTCAAGAAATGAGAACTGCCCCTCCCCCAGCCCCCAGTAATGAATTTCAGGTTCCTTGACAGTCATCCACCTGGATCATTTCTGCCTAAAAACTTCGCATCTTCTATTCATTTGCAAAGGTAATCTTACCTCTAGCCAGCCAAGTCACCAACCAATTGTCCAAGCGAGAAAAATGTTTTTAAAAATGGAGGCGTGGGGGGTAAAACGTCTACAGGCAGGGTTACTACAACAGGTGCTGCGCGGCAAACACGAAACACCCAAGCCGACCTTCTCAGAGAGCCAAATGCTTTTCAGCTAACCTAATGTTCTTCAACTGTTGCTTCAGGGCTTTTCGGTAACAAAAAATGCTCCCTCGCCTTGGCCCTGCCGTTTTTGGCCCCATCACTTACTACCGACTGCGTGTCTGACTTGTTTATCTGGGCGCACCCAGTCATCTCGCTCAGCGACCCAAGCGACCGCGTTTCCTTAAATCAGAGCCCCGTGGACTCTGCTCGGAACTACATTACCCAGCGGCCCCCGCGCCCTTCGCAGGAAGGACGTCTGCGCACTAAGATACTCAGTTCCAAGTTTGGAGCTTTTAGCTGCCAGCCCTGGCCCATCATGTAGCTGCAGCACAGCCTTCCCTAACGTTGCAACTGGGGGAAAAAATCACTTTCCAGTCTGTTTTGCAAGGTGTGCATTTCCATCTTGATTCCCTGAAAGTCCATCTGCTGCATCGGTCAAGAGAAACTCCACTTGCATGAAGATTGCACGCCTGCAGCTTGCATCTTTGTTGCAAAACTAGCTACAGAAGAGAAGCAAGGCAAAGTCTTTTGTGCTCCCCTCCCCCATCAAAGGAAAGGGGAAAATGTCTCAGTCGAAAGGTAAGAGCCTGTTTGCATTACTTGCAAAAATGCAAAGGGTTGTGCATGCATTTATGAATGCATGGATGCAATTTTCGCCTAGCGATTGCATTTTTAAGTTTGAGGTTTTCCACAGCTCAGTTGCATTTCCTGTTTAGTATGTGTCTTTTTTTTTTTTTTTGCAGACACAGAGAGTTCCTGTAAGGCAGGGCTTGCAGTTCAGCTGTGCATTGACGTTATTTGCATTCTTCTGCTAGGATTACTGAGCTCTTTTTGCCTTTTGCACAGTCAGGAGAGATAGAGCAGGTTGGTAGCGTCTAAATGTGCAGTGCTTTATATAATTGTAAAATTCTTTAGTATGCACACACATTATAAGTAATTTTATGTGCAACAGGAATACAAACTTTTTAAAAGTCTGTAGGTGACGATGAAAGGTAAAAGTTGAGTTAAACTAGTAGGAAATTAATGTAATCTTATATTCCTTTGGGAATAAACCGTTGCGGTGTCCGTTTTTAGCTACATTTCCATTGATACCGCTTTGAACATTAAGCAACTTTTGATTTTTAAAGGAAGTAAAGGTGAAGTGTGAATAATAACATATTACAGAAAGAGCAGACGAGAAGTCTTTCTCTTTTGAGATTTTACACTGTACACCAATTGCTTATTGGCTCACAGTATTTAGAAGCAGCAGTGAGGACATAGATGTTTTATGTCTCCCCTTTTGGGAGGTGCTTTGCATCTCGAGGGAAAATATAGGGAGAAAACTGTACTTTTAAGCATTACACCAACATGGGGGGAATGCACCGTTTCGCTGAAAATCATAATGAAATCTTTTTAAGTGTGTAATTACGTGTATTTAGACAGCTATAATAGGTCAGAAATTCAGGGTTATGGTTGTTTTTAAATTTTTTTCCTTTTTCTTAAAAAAAATTTTTTATACAGTTGTATTTTGCAGGCTTAATGTCATACTGGGGAGGGGATTAAAAAAATTCCTGACATGGCATCAGAGAGCTGAGGGGTTGCTGTCAGGTGCCTCTAGGACCCTAAGTCACTGCTTGTTTCAGAACAAATCCTTCACTATAGAGAAAGCATATGCCATATGAGAATGTATGGAGGGAAGAGGTGAGTTAGATATAGGTGAGTAAGGCTACGAGGGACACTACATGCATGGGGAAGATCTAGTGAAATTAAAGTGTCTCATAAGCCTTCTGCCATTTTTTTGGTATTTTGTTGAACCACTTTTTAATTCTGCCTGATGGGAACCACATCTCAGACCAAGAAGGAAGTGATATATGTTCTCGAGAGTTCGAAGTAGGGCAGCGTTTTCCTTGACCATTAGGGGCGAATGGAAATCTGGAAATCTCAGAGTGCTGAAGAACCTAGGAATTGGCATTATGAAGTACAGATGTTCCTTAGGAAAGAGGAAACCTACAATCTCCTAACTGAGCGGAGACTTAACAGCTTAGAATGGGCATTCTGGGCTTTGATGCATTAAAGAGCTGGCATCTAGTTACTTTGTATTTGGTATACACTCATTTATTCAGTTCAGTTTAATAGATGTATGAATATGTATGTGTATGTATATGTATGTCTTCACGTATGTGTATGTGTGATATCTATCTATCTATCTATCTATCTATACACACACACACACAAAATATTTAAAATGTATGTGTTTCCTTCAAGGAACTTACCATTTAGAAAGCATGTGTGCAAATCATTATGATACAAGATAATTGCATGGATAGTGAAAAGAAATGGCCCAGTTGGGAGTTTAGAGATGGCAGTGATCTCTCTGGAAGATAAGAAGGTTTCGTGAAGAAGATGATTTTATAGTGATCTTATCTTTGGACCTTAGGGTCTAAAGTAAATCAGGTTCCTTTTCTACTTTTTTTTTCTCTCACTCTGAAGGTAGCTCTGTTGTACTAGAGCAAGTTTCTGAGTTGGGAAACTAGAAGGTACCAGCATGGCACACTTGCATTAGGAGGGTGCCCACTGTAGATCAGCTGCTGGTGGTTCTTCAAATCAGTTCCCAGTTAGCCAAATGGTTTTCTTAATTGGGTCCTCTTTGGAAGGCAAATCTGGTGCCAATGTGAGGTGTCTGTCCAAAAGGAAAATTAGCGATAGAAGGAAGTGGATGATCATTTCAGATATGGCATGGGAGCCTTGGCCTGGACGTTAAGTGTGGAATTGGCCTAATTCGGCTACGTATTCTCAAGTGGCCAAGACATTTTTCGCAGTACCAAAGTGCTTTGTAATACTATAACCAAATGGAATGGGAGGCAAAAGTGAAAGGTGGACACAACCTCATAGTATTGAAGAATTTAACCACATGTTCAATTCAGAGGACCTTTATGAACTTTCTAGATCACTATAATTCGGTCTCCCAGACCTCTAATTTAAGGCAGAGCAGAGGCAAAAGAATTACAGACTCCCTGGGAGCTGGAAGGACGGGGCTGCTTCTTTCCAGCCTTACCAACGGTGAGATTCCGAGAAAGAATTTCTTAAAAAGAAATTTTGTTTTCCACAGTTGTAACTTTAGGTGGTATGCTTTTCAGCTTGTTTATATTAGCTGTCTGGGGTTGAGCTGACATTTTTCAAATATTAAAGTGGTAGAATGCCTTTGAGGAAATCTGAAATGTAAGTTAACAGGAAGGGCACCCAGAAAGTGCAGGAATTCCTGCACATTACAGGAAGACAAGCTACAGGAAAAATGTGTCATCTACATTACCCCGGAGAGAAAAAACTATTGTTATTAGCCATGATGATTTGAGGGAGGAAGGGAGAGAGGGAGGTGGGGAGGTCTGGCATCTCCCACTTCTGTACCTGAAAATACAGAAGTTTGACTTTGTAAGAAAGGCACTCTCTCTCCCTTCTCCCTCTTTTCACCTTTTAAAAATATTAGCTTCCCTTAGTTTAAGCCAGTCAGTACTGGGTAAATCGTGTTGGGGGAAATGCATGGAAGGCATAATTCAGAAGCATGTAGGAGTGGGGCAGGCACTCCTAGGGGCTCTTTTCCTCTGTAATTCATTCCACCCTGGGAAATGAAATGTGTAAATTTCTCATTCTGTGTAAATTCCTTTGTTAGGTTGTACCAGACAGACTTGTCATGCTTAGCCTGTAATCTGAGCCAGGATGTTTTATAACCCCGTACATCTCAGGACACAAAATCAGAATAGGTACCTTGGGTTTCCCCCGAGCTTGTTTTGTGGTGGTGTGGCATTCAGCACTTCATTCAGCTGCGTGTCAGCTGCTGGGGCTCTGAGGGGCTCTCTTGGTGGTCCATTTAATGCTGGAGTTAAAAAGGGCTGAGATTTATCTCATTGGGACTACTTTCTAGTATTTTAAAATCTGAAAGATCTATAAGGAATATTTTTAGAACCAAAGAAAAAAGTACATACATAGCACTTGTTCATTATAGAAACATTTGAAAACAAAGAAAAGGAAAATAAGAATCACTAGTGACCACACTATACATTTTGGCATATATCCTTTTGGACTTTTTTTTTAATACTTCCTGTATATGTGTATGAATAAATCTAAAGTGTGTATAGAACTCATGTCTATTTAGTTACCTTTTGTTTCACTTACGAATATACTGTGAAATATTTCCAAGTGAATATATATATGTGTGTATATATATATATATATTTTTTTTTTTTTTTTTTGAGCGGGGTAGTGGAGGAGGGACAGAGGGACAGAGAGAATCTGAAGCAGGCTCCACGCCCAGTGCAGAGTCGAGTTGGGACTTGATCTCATGACCCTGAGATCATGACCTGAATTGAAACCAAGAGTCTGACGCTTAATCGCCTGAGCCACCCAGGTGCCCCCTGAGTGAATATATTTCTACATTCATAATATTTCAGTTCTATTTGATTTACTTCAACAGAACCTTCATATTTATTAGCTTTGAATATTATGAAGTTACCATGAGGATCAGACCAGCTCGTATGTTACTGTGACTGAATACTGTGGCCTTAGGGGAAGTCCCAGGTTCTGGATATCAAATTCTTCCCCACTGTCCTTTTCTGTTCCACCTTTTAAAAATAGCTTTCTTCTTATTATAAAAATGATATACGCTCTTTGAAAACAAAATTCAAGCCAAAGAGAATTTCCTAATAAGAAAATTAAAATCACTCCAAGTCACACCATCCAGAGCTAATTACTGGTAGCTTTTCGGTAAACATCTCCTTGCATCTGTATACACATATAACAACACATATGTATCCATGGGTGCTCTTTTGCATGCTATGTATGATACTTCCAACCTCTTTTATACTTCGCCATGTATCTTGGGCATCTTTCCCTATTCACACACAGTCAGGTATCCCATTCTTTTAAATAGTTGCTTATTTTAATTTGTAAGGATGTAGCTGCTTAATTAATCTCCAGTTGGACTTTCACATAGTTCCATTTTTTTACAGCTCTAAGCAACGTTGCAAGGAGTATCACGGACATACGTCTTTGTGCATTTGCCCAATTATGTCCTTAAAATGTGAATTCCTAGAAATGGAAGTGTTAGGTCAGAGGGCATGGACATAGTGCCAGATTGCCCTCCAGAGACCTAACACAAATTCTTATTCCCATCAGTGTTTGGGAGTGCCCGTTCTCGGGTTTAAGCATCACGGTAAATATTGCCAAATAAATTGCTCTCCAGAAAGGCTATGGCTACTTTTTTTCATCCTAGGTCTCATAATGTGAAAAAAAACCTTTGCCAATTTGATCAAAGATCTTAATACTTTACTGTCATTTGCATTTTTTAGTAAAAAAAAAAAGAAGTTGAATTTCCCCCCCTTTTTTTTTGACATTTGTGTTTTATGTGTTTGAGTTTTTTTCTCATAAAATGTGTCTTGAAATTTTAATTTGGGGATCAAATTATTTCCGGAGTTAGGACAGAACATTCCAAAATTGCAAAGCTTAGGTAATCATGGTTTGAGAGTTGGGTCCTATGTGTCTCAACTGTTTAGTTCCCTGGAGAGTTCTAATTTTAATTTTAACCCAAATGTCTTAAATAAACATCA